CCTAACTACAGGGGAACTTGTATGGTCAGAGCAGACCTAAGCATGTTAATAGTACTACATTCAGTACAAAGCACAGCAACGATGGGCACTTTTATGAAACATCATGAGAGGGAGATGAAAGAAATGGTGCTCACCTTTTAAACAACAGACCAGTGGCAACAAACACTGAATCAAGAAGTGCAAGACCAAGGCTCTAAGCCAGGCACGGGCAATTACTTTGGGCAGAGGGCCGCTGAGTTTTGGCAAGCCATCGAGTGCTGCATGACAGGCAGCCAGGGGCACATAAATATTAATTTTCTAAATGTTTTAGGAGCCCCACAGGTCGGAGAGAACGTCTGGGCAGACTGCATCTGACCCACAGGCTGCATTTTGCCCACTCCTGCTCTAAGACTTCAGCCACAGGGATTCAACTTGCATCTCCACCATCCTAAAGAGTGCCCTAACCAGTGACCAAGGCAGAGCTGAATGGTGAGTTCCAAGTTTCTGCTCTCAGGAGTATTTCTATTTTATATCTAACGATTGTTAAATGTTTTTCTTAATAGATTTTACAATTCTAGGAGCAGGAACCAGAACCCATAGATGGAGGGAGGAAATATTAGGGGGAGGGGTGGCATGCAGAGGTAAGTCTGTGGAAGGGAAGGGGCAGAGGGAGAAGGAAGGGGTGGGGGGCAGATTGAGGCCCCCATAGTGAGGGAGGGAGAGGCAGACCAAGGGTAAATGGGCCCTGGAGCAGGGGCTAATGATCAAAGTCCTGGGAGGTTTGTGCAGGGGCGCCGAGGTACTCCCGCCACTGTGTACACCCTGGGAGAGGTATGGGGGGATGGGGGGGTACATGCCCCCCCCCTAAGATTTGTATGCGGGATGCAGGCAGGCTGCCACTGTGCATTGGACTCTGCGCCCCGCTGCCATGAGAGCTGTGCAACGCCATGTGCCTGCCATCCCTGGGCCATGCCGCACCCCCTGTCTGCCTGCCCGATGGTGGCAGGCATATGGTGTTGTGCAACTCCCGCAGCAGCAGCAAAGGCAGACTGGGGCTCTGCACCCCACTGCAGTGGAAGCCTGACTCCAACCCCCACACAAATCTGGGTGACATGTGCCCTCTCATGCCTCCTCCAGGTTGCATGCAGCAGCAGGTGCCCCCCCCTCACCTTTGGATGAAACACTCAGGGCTCTGATAGTCCTACAACCTGCCTTGGAGACCCGTTCACCCCAGCCCCTCCCTCATTCTGGGGGCCGTGATCTACTCCCCACAACTTTCACAGGCTGAAACTTGCCTGCCATGCTGGGCAGTAACATTGGGCTGCGAGTGTCTGAGTTTCTGCTCACCGCCCACAGTCACCCAGAGCCTGCACTCAGGCTTCCCTGCAGCCCTACCTGCTGCCCTGTGTTTGCAGGGGCTAAACCCCATCCTTCCACCGCCTATGCCTCTGCCCCCAAAGATAACTGCACCAATCACATTGCTAGAATGCTGGGCACCTCTTACTTGCTTTCCTGCTGGCCCTATGATTCCTGCATGCCTTTGTGCACAACAGCCCAGTTTCAACAGGAAGGGGATCATGTGCCTCAGACCAAACCACTCAATAGCCCAGAGGTTAGAGAAGCCCACATTGAGCTGAGGAGGACCTAGAACTCTTGATCTCCCACTTCCTGGTCAAGTTCTTTAACCACTAAGCTATTAAACATAAGATGAGCGCTGGCAATTGCCACTTCCCCCAGCATCTTAAAAACAGTGAGCCCTTGTCACCTGGAGGCTTACCCACAGACGATGGTCCTGGCTCTGGATCCTGAGTGGGAAGAGATGCCTAATTGTGCAGCCCTCAGTCAGGTCCAGAGAGCAGGACTGTGAGACATCTCCACGCTGACCATTTCCTACTGGCTCTCGAGGCAGCACCCTGCTCAGCATAATGGTTTTTGCTCATCCCCTTTTCTGTGGGGTCTTACTCTTTACTCAGTGATTCACTTTTTGGAAGCACATAAATTTTCCCAACTTGTCAGGGAGCCTAGACACACTGGAACCTTGAATCATTCTGGTGGTGACAGAAGCCCAATTTTTTGCCACTGCAATGCTTAAGTTGAATATACCTCAGTGCCTCTTTGAATTCCCAGCCTCCAAATGTGATTACATATTGCTGCTGTTCTCCCAGAATTCTTAAAACACCAAGTGTCTGTTTACTTGATTAACTTCAGAAAACTTGAACCTTTTAGAATATTGTTTACCCAGAAACGCCCCCCCCAAACTCTAGTCTGAACCTGAAAAAGTGACTGAACACAAAACAAAGTAAGTAAACACTCCCAAACAAGTAGTTCTCAAGGTAGAGAGAGGAAGTAGGTTTGACAGTTTACTTGCTTTCCTGGTTTCAAAAGACACACATTATAGACCAAGGCGTAACTCTTAAATGACCACTGGAATGCACTACAATATTCTTTTATTTAGTTTACAGAAGAATCTATCAGTACAGGTTGCAGAAAGAAAATGTTTAGTGCTATTTACAGTTTGTTTTAAAACTCTGCTCTATACAAATTTAATTCTGATCAGTATGAACAGTATTTTGTAGACCTACTGCATATAAAGCATTTTGTCAAAGCGATAACAATGGATAAAATAACCTGATTACATTTGAATGATGCTGATCATTCGAAAAAACGATTACACAGAACATCCGTAAGGGCTGTGGACACTTATTGAGTACAGAACACAATGTCAACCTGTGACTCGTTTTTTGAAGGCTAAAGCTATTTATATGGAATATTGTTCTATTATACTACACGCCAATCTATATTTAAGTCCTATACTTATGTATTTTTTAAAGATTTTTATTAAATATATTCTACACATATTTGTAATTTCAGCCAGGAAGTTTTTAATTCCTCCCCAGTGAAAAAATATAAAATCTTTTATTTTTTTTGGTTTTTTTATTTATTTTTTTTACAGGTTTAGATTAAACTAGCTCATGCTTTAGTGCTGTGCAAATTTCTTTAGCATATCAACCTTTAAATTATTGATATGAAATAAAAGAATGGCATCCTTTTTAATTATGTATGCCTTTAAAAATCAGCTTCTGATTTTAATACAATTGCAAGCACTAATACCAAATGCAGATTACATAAAGAAACAAAACTAGTACTATGGCAGAGGTTTCTTTTTTTGTTGTTTTTTAAATTTTAATAATTCTTTTGAAGTCTCTACTAAGTAAGCATGACACTGAACACTAAAGTACAGATGAGTAAGAATGACTGAAAAACGTCAACTGCTGATATTCGAATACATAAAATTGATTAGCAAATGAGGTCTTCTAATATTTATGCACAATAATAAAAGCCTATGAACTACAGGAAATTACCCCTCCCATATTAAGGCTAGGAAATGCACTCTCTGCATTTGTTTGTGCTGTATGAACAAGTACTCAACTAACGCACAAGATAAGAGTGCACATAATGAAAAAAAAATTAGTTTCAACAGCCCTCTACAGAGTGCTTTTAAATTCCAGGCACATAGTTTTTTTGTTTGTTGCAGTGAAAATATATATAGTTAAACTGGGTTTAGTTAGTATTTTGTGCCAGTTTGGCCATAAAGGTTGACTTATGTAGAATTGACTTAAACAGTTTTTCCTTTGATTTGGCCATTAATGAGCTTTTTAAAATTACGGATACCACTTTCCAGTGCTGTAACACATACTGTAAATTATTTCTAGGTGTCTCAGATATTGTTCGAGATTGCTGAGGTGAAATATATTGTCAACCATTTTTAGTGCAAATTGCATCTAGAAAGCTTGATTGGTTAGTTCTGGTTAATGAAGATTTGTGTGGCAGAAAAACAATTCCTGTTGTGGAAAAGAACACATTACCTTTTCCGGAGACTGACTAATAACTGATGTATTAAGATTATTCAAACAAAAACAGTAGAAATTAAAAAATCATAATGAAAATGATCACAGCTCTTCTTAAAAAAACCCAAAAAATCCCCAAAAAACCCCACAGGGACTAGAGGACAGTGTTCATATGTAATATTTCAGTTCCATGGATTTACAGACAGGATCTTCCTAAAAGGTGTCTGAAGCAAAGTTGGGCCTCTTCTATTCCAGCAGCATGAAAGACAAAGACTATATTACATCACACTTAGCAAATAAAGCAAACAGGTTTTACAGGATCACGCAGCAATTGCTCTCTCCAGTTTTTTCACGGTTCCTCTGACCTGTGGAACAATGAAGAGATTTACTTGAAGGTCATTTTCAAGATTTTCCACGTGCACAAATTTTTACTCCTTTTGTTTATGAATGAGACAAGATTTTATCACAATAGCAAACTGAAAGTACTGCTAGAATCTGTACATTTTAAGCTCTGGAGAAAAACAAAAATTTTATTCATAAAGAGTTTGGAAACAAGCCTTTGATCTTAGCTTGTTCAAAAACATTTGGTTTCTTTCTTGACAAGGACTATTAATAAATAATGAAGATATTTCTTCCTTCAAGCTATGCAAAAACAAAACATGACATATTTAACAGGCTCACATGTAGCTGAAAATGTCACACACACATGCTGTATAGCCTACCTTGAGAGTTTGGCTCTGGCAACGTCTCTCTAGCCACCAAATGCATCACTGTTGTCTTGCCAAAAGGAAGTTTTAATGCTATGTAAACAGAAGATAACTGTGTTAATAAATTAACTCTTTTAGCCAGTCCAACAAACACACACATGAAAATGCAACTTTAACTGGATTAGGACTTTTTTCAGAGATTCATGTGTTAAAATCCGAATTGCTCATTTGTCACACACCACTGTTGTTTACATGTGATGAAGATAAAAGATAATATAGGGACCTAATTCAGCTCTTTTTAAAAGTAAATAAAAAACATTAATGGGAATAGGTATGACCAGTTAGGACCTGGTTCAGCAAGGTGTGTGTAAGCACATGCCAGTATTAAAGGAAGAAGAGAGCAGCAGTGCACCAAGAGACCTGCTTGGCTAAATCATGGACTCAACAGTGAGTTGAAGTTTTAAAAAAAGTATCATCTCACAAAAAGAAACATGGCTGCATTATTAAGAATGGAGGTTTGAGTGCAGAATGAGCACATAGGGACAAAACCAGACAGGCAAGGGACATAAAAATATTCTAGAAATACCTCAGATACAAAAGGAAGAGCAGGGAGAAATGCACCAACTAATTTTTTATGTACAACAATTCAACCCCTTGGGCATTTTTCCTTTTTTTTGTGGCCAAAAGCATTGAAAGCAGAACCTCTTCTTATCACAATTATTTACACAAATCCATTTTATTTATGGACTGTTTTTGCATTTAGCATCAATTCACTGAACACTAACAGCAGGAGAACAGAATGGGGGTACCTGAACATGATGCACCTTTTCATTAAGTAGTCAATTACAGATTCAAGAATCTGAAATTAAACTAAATCTAGTTGCTACTGGCCAGAAGCTTCAGGTCACTAGTTTAGCCAGATGAATGCAATTAAGATGATTTAAAACAATGAAAACATTTTTTTGAGATAAGCCTTTATATTTTCATCCTAGCAACAGCGCTGGGTTTTTTTGAGAATGTTATACATTACCATTATAACACAGGTAGTTATTGTTATTGTCAGAAAAATCAGATACATTAAACCTATTTTGAAATGCTTCATAAAACTTGCACTTTCCTGAAAATAAGCTCTGCGATAAAGTAAAACTGATAACAGTTCTTACTTTATGGCAGGGGTGTCAAACATGACCTACAGAACAGTTCTATCCAGCCCTCCAGGATACCAGTAGGCTACAGGAAGTTGGGAGGCAGGATTAGGAGCAGGGCCTGCCACAGAATTTGGGGTTCCTGGGCCTGGATGGCTCAGGAGAAGTCCCTGAAGTCTCAATCCAGTCCAGGGTCAGTTCGAAACTCTTGTGCTAGGGGAAACTGCCTGTGCTGGCAAACTAGAGTCTCTCAATAGCTTTAAGTCTAAAAAGGAAAAGTATTTCACATACTGATTCTTTGATACAATTAATAACTGTGCAAAGATCATGTTAACAAGTCAGTAAATCCAGATGTAAAAGGGATTTTCTTCTTTGTGTGAATTAAGAAGTCATTACAGAAAGACCAAAATGTTATAAGCTAATCACATTAGGGAATTCTTACATAACATCAAAAAGACACTCGAGAAGACTATCCTCTGATAAGTGAGCAAAGGAGATTAATTATTTACAGTAATCAAGCAAAAGTGTTCTAACATCTCAATTAATAGCTTGTATCCTTTTTGCACACATCCTTGTTAGTGATTTCTACCATTTCCTGGGTTTAAGGGTGTGGGCGAGATGCAAAAAACAGAAAAACGGCACATTCACAAAATGCTTTCTCCAAGCATCTGAGTGGACGAAGAGGAGAGCTTTCAAAACTGGATGTTCCTTAGCTGATTGTAACAGCTTCAGTTAACCTGAAATTTGCTGTTGGAAGCTAAATAACACTTTCCTCCCTCTCAACTTCCTATCTTTTCACATACACAGTGGAAGCAACAGAATATGATGGCCCTGGCACTGCTTGTGACAATGACACTGAAGACTTGGAGACAAGTGTGTTTTCTATTATCCTTCCTTCCAGGTGATACTTTTGCTATTACCTCTTTTATTCTTGCATGAAGCTTCACAACGCATGGTATGCTGGCAAAAAAAGCTCAAGGCTAATTTTTAAATATATAAGGATATAGAATTTTTCCTGTTGAAATGTTTATCTTAAAAAACCCTTTCCTCCTATTAATTCAAAGAACTGTTTCAACTTTGGAAGCTGTCATCTTAAGTCCTGACTTCAGCCAGCATTCACACTAATCAAACCGAGTTCAGAAATAAACAACTATCACACAGTTTATCAAAAGGGACCAGAAATGATTTCTGATACCCAAACAAGAACAGCTTTAGGGCAGCAGTCAGTAAACTTAAGGTTGCAAGTTGGAATGACCAGCTTAGGTCAGAAGCAGGCAGGCAGGCCTGCCACTGGACCCAGCCACCGCCACTCCCTGCCTCCCTCCTTCCCCCACATGGCAGCATGGGGAGAATGACTGCTGCCAAACACCAATGAAGCGGCACATCCACGGGCTAGATTAAATAGCTTTGCGGGTTAAATCCAACTTGCTGTTGTAGGTTACCAACCCCTAGCCTAGGCTACTACTCCCTCTCTCTAAGTGACAGGGAGGAAGGGGAAAATAAGCCTCAAAACTCCAGCCAAAAAAAAATCACTAACCACTTGACAAAAATGAAACTCTTCACAGCTGCTTTAATTAAAAGTCCCTAAGATCCCTGGCTGAAAGACGTAACAGAACTGCAAAGTACTGGGTAACAAGAAACTGCATACTGTACTTGGCAGTAAAATACTGTTTTCTTTTTCAGTTATGAAATGTTTCTATGCTGCTTCTGATAAGGTTGCGTTAACCTTTCCTTTTAGGAACTTAGAATTTAACTCCATAATCTTACCCCATGAAGAAATTTATTAGAGTAATTCATCTGCATTGATGTAAATCCTGTTTTAAAAACAAATCTCTACAACAATAAAGAAACAAAAAATTCTGAAAAATGCTAACAAAAACATACAATGTCCATGGGGTATAAGGTTGTGATTACTGCAAATCATGAATGACAAGCAACATGACCCAAAATCCCCTGTTCCCTAGTGTGTATATAAAAATCCATGGAGCTGTCTTAAATGTAGCAGTTAAAAGGAAGCTGGCTGTTCTTTTTCAGTTAAATGTTTTGTTGGGCTCTTAAATGCTATTCAGAGTATTGTGAAGTTATCCTGATCTCTGTGAAGGGAGTTAGTATAAGTGGTCAAGAGCAACACCTACTGATTGCCGAACAAGGTTTTGGGTTTTTTTGTTTTGTTTTTGCCAGCTGCACTTGGCTTGCATGATATTCCAAAGCAGGGGTAGCCAACCTGTGGCATTAGTGCCAAGAGTAGCACAAGCAGCCTGTGGGTGTGCCAACAGCATAACAGGGAAGAAGCAGGGAGCACAATGACAGATAAGGCAGGGAGCATTGAGCTAGCAACAGAAAGAAGAGCAGCAGATCAGATAGGGAACAGAAAGAGCAGCAGATAGGGCAGGGGACAGGGATCAGAGGGGCACTTGGGGGAAGAGTGTGAGGCTTATTTGTGGCAAGCCTGCAAAGAGGTTGGCTTCCACTATTCTAAAGCAAGACATTCAGCAGAAGAGAATTTCACTGAGAGAGATGATCCAAAATTGAGGCTAGAAGCAGCAACAAACACAAACAGTATTTTTACTAACTTTAAGAATACACCAGTATCTGACAAAAAACAGGCTGCAGCCTACAGAAGCTTACACTCTCTAATGGTCCATCCTGCCTGCCTACCACACTGTTTCTTACTGCATTCAAGAACAGAACATGAAACTGTTCAGTTAGGCTAGGAAGAGACATTACACATAAACGAGTTTAAGTGATCAGAAACTGGTTTAAACCTGTAACAGAACATAAATTCAGTGCATGTAAACCAGTTTTAAAATGGCTGAAACTGGCTTAAGATAAATCTGGTTCAATGTAGTATTAGGCTTAACTGATTTGGGTCAAACTGGCTTATGGAACTTGCCCCAGACCCTGGA